CTCAAATTTTAAATTACGATATAACAATATAAAATTGTGTGTGAAAGAGATTTGCATAGTTGTTTACTTATATTGAGTGGTTTTCTTAAGCTGATGCTGTTCAATGTTACCTGTAGCTTGTTCTTAAAACCGTAGTGGCAAAAAGCTTCGTATAGAGATTAACCATGACATGGAAGTAAGATTCCGTAATAAGAAATTTCGTTCCAAAAACGCCGATAGGAGCGTTCATGGCGCTAATGTAGCTTAACAAACTGAAAATCAGCGTAAGACATGGGTATGAAAGCAAAATACAAATTTGTGATTTCATATACGGCAACCGCACCGTAACTTGAGCTATAAGAGCATGTCGACAGTCCAGAATTATATTCTTAGCTGAAGGGAGCCAGCTCAAATGAATATGCGACTCACATTATCGAACACACGTTATTAATAAAGATGTATTATATCAATAATCCACAATTTCTTTAGAGTTTAGAGGCTCCCAGAAGATACGTAGGGAGGCTTTATTGATTAATGCTTTTAATGTATGAGAAAGAAGTTCAAGAAACAGATTCCCAAATAATTCAAAAAGGCGGAGGACTTAAAACTATGTCAGAAATGATAACAGATGCTGAAATTGTAATCATCGATGGATCACAGGGAATCATTTTTAGTACACATATCAAAAACAGCGTGAAAGATTCCTTGGGGTTATTTCGAACAAACGCAGGAAATATTGTGCGAATAATGCTGGAAGTAGTTTCTTTGTAGAAAGTGGTAGAATTCCTCTTCGAGAAAGTGAATGTTGCAAATAAAACTTAAAATTTTACTTTTTTTTAATAATATTGTGTTATTATTATTATTATTTTTGCAACAGCGTTGTACAGCGCTATAAATATACCGGTTAACTATTTTTGAAATTAATGTTTTTAACACGCTTTTATAAGTTTCACTTGCATGTAACGGAATCTTAGAACTCGATTTTTACCCACATTAAAAGATCGGATTAATTCGAAATTTTGCACACTTGTCAAGAACCGATGACAATACAATAATTTCATAATTTTGTTGCGTTGTCCTAATCAGGATCGTCAGGAATAATGATAATCAGATTTTTTGACAGTTCCATATATCACTTCCAGACTTTGCAACTTATTGCATATACAATTTTTAAATTTGGCGACTAATTCAATATACCATTTCCAGATTTGGCGACTAAAAGAATAAAGTGTAACCTTAAAGCGAGAGTTTTTAATTTAAACCTAATTATATGCAAGTGTAAAATACACTTGCGGTTGATAAAAATAAAACAAAAAAAATGTGTTCTTTATGTTAGAAAGTGGAGGGTGTCTGTTAGCAATTTCTAACTATAATATAAACATTTTTCTGAAAATGAAAATAAAAAAAAGGCTCGTGCATGTGAAAAAAAAAATTTATCTTCTAACTGCTAAATATTTTTATTTTTGTAAAGCAATGCGTTTAGAAGTGATGATACCAATTAACATTATAGCAATACGTTTAAAAGGGGATAATACGATTGACACTTAATATTATCATGCTTTTATTAACTCACTTTCTTGAATGCGAGAATTGTCTGGGTAGAATTTTGTAATTGATTTAACTGTGTGACTTTCTGGTGAGTTACAGATTTGAAATTTGGACCATAGCTCAGAAGTAGATGACAATGTATAAAAATGTGAAAAAAGAAAAAAAAAAACGAAAAGGAGGAATTTTATACTTTTTAGTCCGTTTTAAAACATGGTACATTAATTTTTTTTCAATTCGAACTTTTTCTACTAGCCACGTAATTCTGGTTCCAAATATCAATTTCAAACATAAATTCAACAATGAATAAATGATGGCTTAAAAATCTAAAAAATACGTTTTTATTGCAGATTGAACTAAAAAATGAAAAATAAATTATTGTTTAAAAAAAAATAAACTAAAGAATACGCTTTTATACTCTTTCGAACTAAAAAGTAAAAAAAAAAAAATAATTCTGAATATAAGAATAAAATGATGAACGAGAAAATTAATGTTATCGGGGTAAAAGCGTAGGGTGCTTTGTACTACATTTTACACTAACTCAGCATTTTGGAATAGAAGTTAGAAACTATAACAATTGATATATTTATAGAACACCCTACTACTTAAACTATAATTAATTTATTATGCAATTTTTAGTTCCCGAGGCATTATTCATCTCCACACCAGGTTTTTAGACATTTCCTTTGAAGGATCGAGTTGCAAGTGGTTCTGAATAATGTCAGTTAAAAATTACTCTTTATATTAGCTTTACATATGATTTCAGCTCTTAGAGATTAGGCTATAGTAAGAAAGTCCAAAAATAATATGTTAACTTTGGAAATCTATTTCCCTCATTTTCAAGCCAGCATTACTTCATACGGATGCCTTTCAATTAGTATAGTTTAAATTTTTTTAAATAATATCTAAATGATATTGCAATTGGAATTTATTGAACTTTCTCCTATTTATGGTGATTTTACTAAATCTATTTTTTAATTTTTATTTTTAAGGCATAGAAATAGGATTTTTCTTTGTATTTCAGTAACTTTTTAATTATTATTTAAGAGCTCAAAATCAAATATTTTTTTTATTATTTAAATAATATCAACTACTAATAACATTGGAAGAGGATTCTTTATGAATTTTACTTGGTTATAATAGGCTGTCGTAGTCTCTCACTACCCCTATGATTATTAATTCCTCTTTGCACATTATCTAAATTTGGATATGTCGGATTCATAATTAATAACTACATAAATAATAAATCACAATTATTTATTATTCCTTATGATAGAAATACACAAATATTAATCAAACTTTAAGAACAACAAATTATAGTGGATTGAGATCAGAATTCAATTATGAACGACGGAACACTAACTGATACCACGGGGAATAACGCATACAATCAAACTACGCATTTAAATCTAATCTACAAAAATCACAGACCTGATATCTCTTTAAGACCGCAATCTTGAATACTTGTAGAATCTATGGAGTGGTTTCAACCTTGGATATCTTCAGTTACGTCCGAACTGAATTAATAAATCTTTTTTTAATAATCTTCCTTCAGCTAACAACTTCACTTAGTTAAACTAATCTCCTAGAACCACCTTCTTAATCAATCACGCAGTTAACTCCTCTATCAAAACACGTAGTCATCCTCATCTCTTCATTTCATTTCTCCCTTTTATATCTCTTTCGAACTCGCTAAACCCGAAACTATCTTATTTGCATAAATCACACTTTTAGCTCTCAGTGGGGATTGGTTAAAATAAATACAATTTAAAAGATTTTTAGAGAAGGTTAATGAAACGCGTAAGCACCCGTCACAAGGCTTTTAGCATTGCTAAAGATATGTTCAGAAATGTTGTTGGTTATCATTTATATATCATTAATGCTATAAGGATAAATAAGGATAAAAAATTAACGCTATCAAAATAGTCTAATGATGTCAATACGTATTTAAAATATTAAACTAAAATAACTTTATATAATTCTATACAAAAATATACATAATATTTTTTTTTTGAGTTACATAATTCTCTTACGACTTTTAAATAGCTTTTGTAATCTTCAGAATCAGCTTTTTTATAGAACATACCACTCATCAGAATAAAAAGAGTTTCACGAATCATTATTTTTGAAGTAAATGGTAGCTTTATTTAATTTCATCTATTATAAATTAAATGAAAAACAAATAATTTGTAAAAATGATTTGAATATTAACTGAAAGAGTCTGAGAAGACAAGTATTTTTCTCCATTTTATGAAGACAGACATGCATTAAAATTCTAGAAAAATAGTATCTCTTCTTTTGAAGCTACGTTAATGAAATAAAGATTTAATACAAAAAGTTTTTAAAAAAAAGACTTTTTTTCCAAATGTGAGCTTTGTTATTTAAACTGTAAGTACGCAATAAAAGTAAAAGTTATAAGTTACAAGAAAAGAAGAATTATTATTAATTAATTTGGAAAAAGTAGTTTTAAAAAGTCAAATTTTTTGCATCTAAAGCATTTTAATTTTTTTAAAGCTTTTATCTTAAACTATTAACAAAAAGTATATTTGTAATTATTTCCTATTCATAAAATCTTCTGCTTAATATAAAAGTTTATTATTAACGTTTAAAGGCAATTTCAAAGTATGTGTAACATATGTTTCTGCAACATATTCATATTCATACACACCTACTTTAAATTTTCTTCTTTCTTTTATTCATTGAAACTGACTAAAAACATGTTTAAAACATCACTTTATAATATTTTAAGATATTTTAAATCTACTTTACTGTTACTATAAATCAAGAAAATTATATTGAAAGAAAATTATAATGTTTTTCAAAGTTGATAACATAAAATATTTTAAAAGTTTGAATTTTTTTTGGTATGCTATTCATTAACATATCTTAAAATCCGGCGTATAACGGCCTTTTAACACAAAAAATACGATCGAAATTTATGGTTTCACGTTATACAACGGGTATAATATAGATAACTTGAAAAATGAAAAAAATATGAGCAGAGCAAAAAAATTAGACTCGACATATATCAGCTTACTGTTTTTTTTTTAATGGCATTTCTTAAGAATATAAAAGTTGTATTTCTGGAAATATACAATTTTTTCAAAAGCCTGCAATAATAAATCGAATAAATGACTTGAAAACTTACGAGAAATTTCATATGTGCATTTCAAGTTTCATCGTAAACAAATAATATACATGAAAAAAAAAAATGTAAGTCAATTCTTATTTAGGTCAACAGAGAAAAATTTCATTTTATTTACTTTTAATTAAATAGTTACAATTAATGTAAATATGTATATACATATGATAGAATCACACTATTAAGTGACAAAATAGAAAGCGATTTTCCCTTTTCTTTCCTATATATGGTGGTGAATTATTTTTATATTTTGTTACTTTTATTCATTCATTAAATTTAACTTTTCAAATAAAATAGAATAAGAAAAACGAAATCACATTCTCAGAAATTAGGCCATCCCAGGTGGTATTCGAACCCATGGTCTCTGGATTAGAAGTCCAACGCGCTATAAATTGCGCGGCAAGGACTCAACGAACGATTTTCCTTTCTATATATGCAGCTGAACTATTATTTTTTTTTAAAACCATTTATTCATTTTTTAGTTTAATTAATGAATTAATGTTTGAGAAAACTGTATTAACATCAAATGTTATCCACTACAAATTTAGAAAATGTATTTGAACTTGAATGGATGAATAGAAAATATTTTATTAATGATTGAAATTTTGAACAAGCTATATATATATATATATACTCTGCTGGCCACCGTAAATGCAACATCAAGAAAGAAAACGATAAAACAACAAAATTTATTTTGTAGATAACATGTTGATCAAGTATCAAATGATTAAATTTATAGACTTCTGTGAAGGGTGGTTCCTGCCAGAATCAGTAGCTAGAGTAGCCTCCATTGTTGGGGATCACCGCTGCCACACGCCTCGGCATTGATTCAAAGAGACTTTGGATGTGTTCTTGGGTTACAGCAGACCAAGCAGCTTCCACACGTTACCAAAGTTGATCTGGTGTGGCAGCTGGGGGTGTAATCTGGGTCAATCGTTGAGCAACCATGGAACACATGTTTTCTATCGGTGAAAGATCCGGAGAGTGAGCCGGCCAGGTAAGCAATTCAATCTGGTGATTGACGAAGAACCTTCGGACAATGCGTGCCACGTGTGGTCGCGCATTATCCTGTTAAAATATGGCTGTGGCCAAGCTCTTAAGGAAAGTAAGGACAACTGAGACTCCAACACCTCGGAGATGTAGCGCTGGCTGTTTAAAGTACCGGAAATGAGTAACTAGAGGAGTGCGAGAGTGATATCCAATACCACCCCATACCATAATACTCGGTGCATAACCAGTGTGGTGGTGCATAACGCAGCTGTTCAGCATCCTCTCTCCACGGGGTCTCCAGACTCGAATCCGACCATCGTGATGTTGCAGAGAGAAGCGTGACTCGTCAGTAAAGCCAACTTCTTTCCATTCTGCCACCCACGTCCTTCTTTCATCGCACCATTGGCGGTGGTGATGTCTGTGGTTCTGCGTCAAGGGTAGACCAAGCAATGGACGTCTTGCGGACAGACCACTCTGCTGTAAACGGCGTTGACTGGTACGCGCAGAAACTGAATGATGCGTTACAGACTCAATGTGCTGTGCTATGGTTCGTGATGTGACTGAGCGATCCGTCACTGCCATGCGCACAATTTGCCGGTCCTCACGTAAAGTGGTGCACTGAGGTGGATGCGTTCGACCACGTCGGTCCGTCGTACCTCCTGCATCCAACGGTCACATATCCGCATTACAGCTATTTGGTTTCGTCCAACACGACTACCGATTTCCCTGGAAGATTATCTACAATCTCGGTAGGCCACGATCCTTCCTCTGTCAAACTCGGATACTTAATCAAAAGCTGGTCGCTGTTTTCTACGAGACATAACTGATCGTTTTTTTTTTAAAAAAACCACAAAACACAATTGCTGAACTAGAAATCGTTGAAATCTCCAAGCCTTAAATAACGCTTTGAGGTGGCGCCACAGGCGTGCGTGATGTATGTCTGCGCTGAAATTCTAATCATTTGCATATCTCACCTCCGCTAATGCATGTTCTAAATTTCATATTATTTGCGTGCTTTCTTCACTGCGTTGCATTTACTTTGGCCAGCAGTATATATATATATATATATATATATATAGATAGATAGATAGATAGGGAGGGACTGAACTAATAATAAGGATTGAAAAAAGAGGTACTGGTTATACGGCGAAAGCATTATAAAATTAAAAATTGCAGCTCTAAGAAATGGGTGCGCATAATACGCTGGATTTTACGGTAAATAAACTCAATTTTTACAAATTCTCTGGATGTTTTAAAACAGATTACATATCGCATCATATGTTTTCGTATTCAGAAAAAAAAATGTTTTTGAAAGATTTCTATTTTGAAATGTGTCCATTTGTCAATTCGAAAATAAGTTTTGTGATAAATTTATCTCAGAAATAACATGTTTAAAATAATAATATATTTCAAAGCCAAATGCCTATTGGCTTTGGTTTGACATTCTTTATATCTTCATAATAACTATTAAATCATACTAAAGTGTTCCCAAAAGTACCCGAACCAATAAAGAAAACACAAACCTTTTGAAAAGAATATATTTAGTTTTCAACATAATATCCTTTCAACACTATACATTTCCCTCACGGCGATGTTCAACAAGTTAGTTACCCTTTTTATAATAAGTACTGTCTTGCTCCTCAAAATAGCCATTCACTGCCGACATTACTTCTTTATAGTTGGAAAATCTGACCACTGAGCCATTTTTTAAAGTTTGTGAATAGAAAATAATCCGAGAGTATTAAATCTGGCTATTAGGGTGCATGAAGTAGCAATTTAAATTTTAATTCAATAATTTTGGCCATTGCAATAACGGATTTCTTAGCAGATGCATTGTCTTAATGAAACAACACTTTTTTCTCAGCTAAATGTGACCGTTTTTGCTTGATTTCTTCGATCAAATGTTGCAATAAGCTCTTGCAATACTCGCTGTTCATAATGTTTCCATTTTCAAGATAGTCAATGAAAATTGTCCCACGCATATCATAAAAAACCGATGCCACGACCTTGCCTGCAGATGGAACGGTCTTTGCCTTTTTTGGAGCCGCTTATCCCTTTACATTCTATTGTTTTGATTGTTCATTTGCCTTGTGTGTGAAATGATGGTCCCATGTTTCATCCATGGTTATGAAACACCGCAAAAATTCTGCTTTGTGGCTATGAAACTTCGCTAAACACTCAACTGAAACATCACGACACTGTTTTTGTTCGAGTGTGAGCAAACACTGTATCCATATTGCACACAGCTTTCACATGTCCAAAGCTTCAAATAATATGCACTGAACCGTATTTTTTTAAACGCCTACTATGTCTGATAGCTCGCGCTTTCAGTCGATGATCATCCAGTACCGCTTTGTGGATTTTCGGATTTTCTTCACCATTTCTGGTGTCGTCACCTCATTTGATCCACGACTGCGTTGCTGTTATTGGCCGCTCATACAGCCTCGTTTAAACTCTGCTTCCCAATATTTTATTATTGTAAACGAAGGAGCACTCTCACCCAGAGTAGAATCTAGTTCAGTTTTTGTATTGTATAGGCTGAGGTCTTTCAAATAAAAGTATTGTATCACATAACGATGATCAATTTTCTCCATTTTCCCAAATTCACTGAAAACGTTTACCATTGATAGCTGCCAAACAAATACTAAGCAATAAAGCGTCTTCAAACTTAAAATATATGCTTTATAGATTGCGCACTTTCTAATACAGTGATATTTTCAGTCAGGCCGGGTACTTAGGGGATCACCCTTCGTATCACCAGAAAAAAAGTTATAGTTTCAACCATGACGTCAAAATTTTAACAACACAAAATTTAAAAGTTAAGGAACTATTTTCAAAAGGAAGAAAGCAGAAAAAATATTTCAAATATTAAATATCAATTTGATTTGTAACGCAAAAATGCGGAAGAAAATCTGTAATACATATTCCTTTTTACAAATAAATTATTTATTTTTATTTGAACTCCTTTATTTTTAATTTTTTCGTATTTATTGATAAAAATTGCTGAGCCTTAAAGTAATATAAATACACTCTATCATCTCAATATATATATATATATATATATATATATATATATATATATATATATTCACTCAAAAGAAATCGAGCTACTATCACGAAAAGTGGCAGGAATGTAATCTGGTAAGAAATATGCAAATGAATAAAATTTCGACACAAAATGAGACAGAGGTATAAGTGCACTATGTGGATATAATATGTGCATCTGGAAGAGTTCAAGAGTATGTTTTCTTGTGCCATAATGTTAACGAAGCAAATCTGTCGACTTCAATATACTGTATTGTGACTATAAATGCGTCAGAAATGTAACCGGTGACAGTGCGAACAATTGCTGGACTTTAAGAGGGAGTGTATCGTAGGACCCTTAGCAGCAGGTTGGTCGAACAGGGTTATCGGCCACCACGTTGGTCATAGCGATATGGTAGTTACTCGGTGTGGCAAAAATAAATCACGGATGGGGTAGTCTACCATTGAGAAGGATCAGGGTGTCTCTGGATTACAAATGCGTGCAATGATCACGCAATAATAAGAGCGGCTCCATCCACAACAACAACGTCATTAGGATCACTTCGACGCCATCTATTGCCTTCCAGATATCCAATAATATCAAAGTAAACTATTCAGAAACCACTGGTCGACTCAGGTATAAGGAGCCAATTACTATTCAGATGCCTACCACTGACGCCATACCATATGCAGTGTCGATTGGATTTTTCCCGACAGGAGTGCTGGAGTGTGACCTAATTGGAGGCATGCGATTTTAAGTGATGAATTCTGATTTAGTCGCATACGCGTGTGAAGGTGCTCAGGCCACCGGTCTGATCCGGTATTTATTGTCGAGAGACATACGATGGTTACACATATTGTAAGATTGTGGGCAGCAATTTTTAGGGAAACACGGTCACTCTAATCATGCTTCAACGCATTTTGAATACAAGCAGTTACTCGGAAGTGATTTTAAATCCAGTTGTACTTCCCTAAGCTATCTTGTAGCTCAGGTGTCATTTATCAACAAGACAACACTCGTTCATACTCTCAACAATGTGTTCAAGGGTATGATGTAAAATCATACCCTTGAAATCATTTCAGTGTTTCCTGCCAGGTCACCAGACCTCTAGCTAATATAGCATGTGGGGGACATGCTTGAAAGGCAGCTGCAGCTATCCCGCATTACTGGTGTATAAACAGTCCAGCTGGTATCACTTTTTAGTGCTGCACCGTATAGGCGACACCAATTGTTGCAAGTAATTTTGGTACCCAGTCTTCTCTCCAGGCGGAGGCCAATGAGCTCTGACGATGCGAAATTGAACTTAAAAATATAATTTTGCCGAGAGCACCCAAACCAAACGGGCACTATATGATTTTGTAACAGAGTGTGTTTACAAAAATAAATAGTGAA